AGCTTTCTCTAAGCAATGTCTGTCAGGCTGCTAACATGTTGTTTTTCTTTAATGATGGAGCTAAAGACAGAATAAACAAGGCAGCTGGATATTCACCTGACAGCAGGCTGGCTAAATTACCTAGCTAATATGGCTAGTCTAAGCCTAGCGAACATTTAGCAGCTAGGCTAAAAACATTTACGAGCTGGCGCAAGCATAGATAACATTCAGTGGCCAGCCTAACTCTAGCTAACAATAAACCACTAAGCTAACCTAAGTCTAGCTATCAGTTAATAGCAAGCCTAAGCCTAGCTGACATTCAGTGGCTAGCCTAAGCTTACCCTGCTGAAAAAAATCATAGAAACCATTAAAACTATCTGCTGGTTCCTGGTGGTGTCCAGTAGTCACTAAAGATATTCTGTGACTTCCTGATGGGTTGATATCACAGTGAAAAGACTGTTGGTTTAGCAGGTGTTGTAAGTCCAGATGCATTTGATGGTTTCCTAATGGGATCTAAAGGTGTCCAACAGGAAACTAGTGGTCTCTAACGGTAACCATAAAGCCAATTCCCATTTAAAAATAAAACCATAAAAACCAATTCTAATGGTTCTAGTGTTTTTTTTTTTCAGCAGGATAGACAGTTAGTGGCTAGCCTAAGCCTAACTAACATCACTAGCAAGGCAGTTATCATTAGCTAGCTAGTTAACTACAGTAGATTTCTCTTTAGTTTTGATGACTGTTTTGCACTCAGGGAGTTTAAAGATTATAACGTCATTATAACGTTATAATAATATAATGTATAATGTATACCCGCAGGGGGTCTAGTTAATCACAATGACTGAACACCCACTGTGACCAAATCACCGTGGTGAAGAGTGAAGGTGTCCACTACGACACGCTCACACCCAGAGTGTAAAAATAAGCCGTGTTAAGGCCTATTTCTGGAGGTCTGTCCTGACGAGATTAGAGTTATTCTGCGTACTGGTCTGTGGTCATCTCTGACCAGTGTTCACTTTAGCCTGATCACTCTCAGAAGGAGTGACCAGTTAGCGGTGAATTTATTCTGGGGTGGTTAATCTCACTGGGCTAAAGCTGAAGCGTGATAACAGAGCAGAAACATTCACCGCCAATCACTGTTTCACCTTTCACAGATTTATTGATCAATAATGAGGGATGAACAGAATTAGCATAAACTGATTAATATTCGCTGCTGATCTGACAGTGCTGAGTTTAAAGCCCCCCCCCCCGTCAGAGTGAATGAGGATAAACTCCACCCACCTGACGCTGCTCTGTAAAACCTTCACTTTAATATGCCGCTTTTATTTATAACAGGTTGTGGATGCAAATAGCTGATGAGTAATTGGTTAAGTGGATTGGAGGAGAGGCACTGCGCTCTAAAAGAAGGTGGGTAAAGCCTGTGGGGGCAGCGGGGGGTCCGCTATAAATTACAGACTGATCAGCGTCCACTCACACTGACCGGCGAACAGCAGCGGATTACAGAGACCAGAGGAGTTCAGAGATTCTACCTGAAGCAGGTAAGAGAGACTCTCCGCTCACTGAGGATGGTTTTTAAGGGTTCTTAGTGAAAACAGTTGTTCTATATAGAACTATTAAATGGTTCTCTGCATGGTACACTTGTACATCAGATTGATGGAGAATGTGTTGCATGTGGTTCTAGATAGGTTCTTCTATTGTTTCAAGCTTGACAGCGTAACAGATTATCAATTAGAATTTTCCCGAATCGCTCAGCTGTTCTTTACAGCACCGCAAAGAACCCTGATTCTGGATATTTAGACGTGAGCAGACGAGGAGTTTGTCGAGGTTTTCAGACGCTTTATTGAGTGTTTACTGTGCTCAGCAGTGAAATAAACTCCCAGTAACTCTGAGATCAGACACTGCACAGATCAGACTTTATAGAGGAGGAAGATGAAGATGTTGTGTGTGTGTGTGTGTGTGTGTGTGTGTGTGTGTGTGTATAGGTGTGTGTGCACAGCAACAACTAAGAAAGAAGAAGCAAGATAGACGGAAACACACACAGAAACATAGACGGACTGAAAAAGAAAGAAAGTAAACAATGAAGGAAAGAAAAGAAAGATAAATTGTCTGAAAGAAACAAAAGGAAAAATGATCAGAAAGAGAGCCTGACTGAAAAGAAAGAAAGAAAGAGAGAAAGAAAGAAAGAAAGAAAGAAAGAAAGAAAGAAAGAAAGAAAGAAAGAAAGAAAGAGGGAAAGAAAAAGGAAAGAGTACATAAATGATAAACTGAACTGAATTTACTGGATTCTAATGTGAACATTATCATCACAACAAATAACATATTAACATAAATAATATATCAGAATCAATAATATATGATCACACAGTGACCACACTGAGAGACAGAACTGTGTTCTATTTCTGTGTGAATGATGCACATTAGAACCGCACCGAGTTCAGAATACAGATAATGAGCTTTATAACACAGTTCCTCTGTATGTTCTCTCTGTTCTGCTGTCTGTTCTGTCTGTTCCTCTGTCTGTTCTTCTGTCTGTTCTTCTGTCTGTTCTTCTGTCTGTTCCTCTGTCTGTTCTTCTGTCTGTTCTTCTGTCTGATCCTCTATCTGTTCTTCTGTCTGTTCCTCTGTCTGTTCTTCTGTCTGTTCCTCTGTCTGTTCTTCTGTCTGTTCTTCTGTCTGATCCTCTGTCTGTTCTTCTGTCTGTTCCTCTGTCTGTTCTTCTGTCTGTTCCTCTGTCTGTTCTTCTGTCTGTTCTTCTGTCTGATCCTCTGTCTGTTCTTCTGTCTGTTCTTCTGTCTGTTCCTCTGTCGGTTCTTCTGTCTGTTCTTCTGTCTGTTCCTTTGTCTGTTCTTCTGTCTGTTCCTCTGTCTGTTCTTCTTCTGAGCTGAAAGTTATGATTATTTCCATGAGGCTCATTAGGATGTTGTGATCTTCAGTGCTGCGAGTGTCTCTGTGTGTATATACAGGCAGTGTACGCCTGTAGGGTGTATAAACAGAGCTCAGTGTAAGAGCAGGAGCTGAGTGTGCTTTACAGAGTTAGCGGTGTTAGCAGTGTTAGTGGTGTTAGCGTGGAGGATTTCAGCCCGCCAGATTAGCTCTGAGAGTAAAATAAGAACCTGCTGTAATCTCATTACACCAGATTTACTCCTGTCTCAGTCACACAGATATATAAAACCTTCTAAACTGTGACCTTTCACCTCCTCGGTCACTGACAGGTCTTCCTCACTCTCTTATTGATCAGATTTTAACTGTCTGTTTCTGTTTCGCAGATTAAAAACCCGTCTGACTGTGAAACATGGCCAAGTAAGTGTTCAAACGCCTTCTGTTCTGACTTTGATTCATGCTGCACTGTGGAAAGGCATAGAGAGGTTTTCAGTTCAGGGTTATCTGGAATTTGTGGAGTTGTTTATACATTTTAAAAACATTCTGGTTTAATCAAAGTCCTGCACGCTGAAGTTTCCACAGTTCATCCAGAAACACAAAAACGAAATCAAAGAGAAAGCACCTTATTAAAACACCAGTTTTACCTGCTCTGATTAATCAATCGATTAATCAACTTCGAATCTCCCAATCAAACTGAAACTTACATGCAACTTTAGTTGCTTGAAACTCACACTAAACTAAATTTTGATTCATAATATAAAATGTCTTCAACTTCATGGAACAAATTCCGTTGAACAGTCCATCAAAACACTCACAATGTGTCACACGATCATAATGCATGACATCATTTCAAACAGTTATTTTGATTGGATTAGTAGAGGAGAAAATAAATCAGGTGATTTATTAGATTATTGAAAATGAGATCCCCCTATTGATTCTTAGAGTTGGTAGTTTTTCATTTTGTCAGTTTCCTGAAAAACAAACAAACAGGAGTTTGTTCAAGCTCAGTTAACTAGCCAGCTAAGCAACTAACCAACCAGCTAATGCAGCTAAATGGTCAGCTAACGCTAATGTCTGTTTGAACAGCTGCTCATTCCAGCCTTTACTCTTGTTTATCCTGTTATCGTGATCTACAATGTTAAATTATTTATTTTTCCCCTAATGTTGAAAATTATCACAGGAGACAGAGACGAGCTCCACCATACGCTCACAGCGCTTTTAGGACATAAAGTAGGCTGCAACCATAATAGCTACAGTAATTTACAAACTCCTAACACTCCTAACTGAAAGTGTTGCTTGATTATTTTCTGCATTGCTTTGTGTAATTGACAACTCGCAGAGAAATTAAGTTGCATGCAGCTCACAACTTTACAAGCTCTAATGCAACAATTAAGGCTCCACACTAAAGCCAGCCTAAGCAGGAGAACACCTGCTGGAGCTTCTGATCAGAGTAAACACACTGTGTGTCCATTGAGAGCAGGATTAGAGTGACAGGGCAGGAGAGGACGCAGCTTTAATCACTCAGCTTTATCAGTGTGTGACCTTTATGACCCTCAGCTGTCCTCACACGCTCTCAGGTCTGAGATCGGGTCTTAAGGCTAAAGCCACAGTCGGGGAAGGTGACGTTCCTTGGCCGTTCCGTCACTGGAGGCTGTTCCTGTAGAATCACTTCTAGGTTCAGGACAGTGTAGTGATTCTTCTGCTCCTATACTCACCTGCTTAACCTGGCAGGGTTGAATTGTGTATGTTTAAGTTAAATAATCACCTGACTGCTCTGGACCCCTGGAGTTCACCACCCCTGTTTCTAGACCTTCAGTCACCCACAATCCTTCACACGCACATATAAAGGCCCCGATTCAACATGTTTCTTTTATTTTTCCCTGAGCTCGTCTTCATAATTAATGTCTATGTGATCAGTTTCCAGCCTCTCTTTATCTCTTACCACTAAACAGGCTGTTATAGTTACAGTGCCTTTAAAGGTCCAACATCATAGAAAATTAACCACCCCTCCTTTTACATAATAAAAGCATTGGATATGCAAATGACCTTTGTTCTGATTGGCTGTGCCTCATCCAAAAAGCAGTCTTGGCTGAAACACTCCTTATGACTTCAGCTATGACAGGGCGGGGCTAATCTGCTGTACGATGAATGGGCGGATGCATGTAAATACAATGGTTTTCGTGACATCATTGGTTAATTCAGCTTCCATATGTGGACTGTATGTACTGGGGAGAGTACATTAACAGTGTTTATATACCTCTGCAATCTGTTTCATTTAAAAAAGTGAGTTTTCCAGGATATGAGCCATTTAAAAACAGCTGAAACATCTCGGATTCTGTTAGTTTGTAATTGAATAGAATTAAATATAAAGTATAATTTAACATTTTTACACATAAGACTGAAACACCATGTTATGTCAGTAAGTCGTGGCGTGTCAGTACAGCCTATTTCAATACAGACATCAGTCTTAGATCACAAATGTCTCTCTATTTAATTATTTCACAGGTGTCTGTAATAACTAAGATGGTGGTATCTGTAGTTTTTTCATTCCTTTTTCTCTTTTCTGTGCAGGGTTTTCAAGAAGACCAGCGGCAGCAACCAGGTGAGCTCAGTTACTGACGTTTTCTAATTTGATATTTACTGTTATTTTATTTATGTTGTCATGTTCCCATTCTAAGTAATTTACAAGCTAAACTATCAACACAAATACATGAGTTAGCTGGGATATTGTGGTAAAACTCTATAGTCAATCGTGAAAAACAGCTGCTGTACAGAAATGTGCTGAAATGTGTCCAGATAAAGATCTGAGGCTCTAACAGAAATCCCATTATTATCTCATTATTCTTATTCTTTGTTCCTTCTGAAAACAGGAAATAGATTTGAGGCTTTGGGTATAAAATCCATCAGTGACATCATTAACCCCTTTATCTGTCTGTCTGTCTGTCTGTGTAGCTGACTCTGCTCCTGGGGAAGAGAGATTATGTTGATCATGTGGACAAAGTGGACATTGTTGGTGAGAAACTCTCAGTATAACTTTCAGCTTTATAAACTAAAAAAAATCATTCATTCATTCATTTATGTATTTCTATATTTAATTACTTATACTATCTCTGTTTACCCTGGCTCGTCACACTAACCCCAAAACACAGATATAAGACAGGAAATACAGAATACATGATAAAATAAAATGACTGAAGGTTGAATAATATCAACAGATGATGATACATCAAACATGATGATACAGTTCATTACTGATTAATTCAAAATTGAATAGTGAAATAATCAAGTCTCACCCTGAGATGTTCTCTGTGTGTTTGTGTGTGTTACAGAGGGTGTGGTGAAGATTGACCCCACTGACCTCGGTGACAGGAAAGGTACTTCAGTTTGGGACATATTTAAAGCCCCCAGGAGCCTAAATCCATATTGTCTCACCTCACCACCAGCTATAGCCAACCAAGAGAAAGCTAACCTAGCAAGCATAATTTAGCTATCAAGCTAGCTTATCTGTTTACCTGTCCTCTGTCTGTCCACTCAAACATTCGTCCAATCAGCTGGCTGTGCCAGCATTCCCTGTATGCGTATTATTAGTAACATTATTATTATCTCTTTTAACTATATACCACAATTACACTTTATGTCCTGTAGTCCTGCACGTTATTGTGCTTTAGTCTGTGAATCTATTCTGGATCTATTTATCATATATGAGTATTCGTCCTCTCCTCAGTGTGGGTGCAGCTGTGCTGCGCGTTCCGTTACGGCCGCGATGACCTGGATGTTATCGGCCTGTCCTTCAGGAAGGACATCTGGATCCATCACATCCAGCTTTATCCAGACGCCGGATACAAACCCACCCTGACAGAAATGCACGACACGCTGCTGAAGAAAGCGGGAGAGCAGAGCTACCCCTTCACCTTCGAGGTGCGCCTGTAGTCTCACAGTCAGCCCACCCTGGTCATATTACTTAATAATGGAATAATGGAAAAGAGTTCATATGAAGTCAGTTTATATCTGGACCGATTTTTAAAATTTCACCCATAATTCAGTGGTTGAGATCATTCAGAGTGGTTTGGGGTGAAGTGGTTCAGATGCCTTTACAGTGGTGGTGATAGGAACCAGGGGATCGCCATGACTACAACACAGATATAGACATTTTATTTACTATCCAGAACCACCAGTGAACCTACACGAGTCTTCTGAGTTTATATGGAATGTTGATGATGGAAAATAGTGGAAAATCTGAAATAATACGTTTTCTTTGGGGACTATTTTGCCTCACAGCACCCTGCATATTATGTATCCCTCCACCATGAATGGAAATCTAAAAAACTATCGTAAACCATGTCTCAGGTTTAGGGCATTTCACACTCTGAATGATTCTGTTTACATCTTAACCATTTAATTATGCAGACATTTTGGTGGAGGTCCCCTTTGATGTGACTCCTCCCATTTAAGATCTAGTTAGCCACTAAATTTTTCATTTGAACTAAAATGAGTCTGAACATCATCTCACAGTGCAGAGCAGTGATGGTGTGACAGTAACCTGGACTAATCAGGACTTGATCACCTGTGTTTATGTTCCAGATCCCCACCAACCTGCCCTGCTCAGTCACTCTCCAGCCTGGACCAGACGATAAGGGCAAGGTGAGCGCTTACACGGCCTTCAGCTTCAGCAGGTGGTAAACTGTGAGTAGTGATGGCCACTAACGGTCTGCTCTGTCCCCCTCAGCCCTGCGGAGTGGACTTTGAGGTGAAGACCTACATGGCCAAAGCAGCTGAAGACCCAGACGAGAAAATCGACAAAAAGTGAGTGTGTGGTCTTTTCTTTCGTTACTCGGTCAGTCGGTCTGTGAGCTTCAATCACTGTTGAGTTTAAAGTGATATTAGCTAGAAGGCTAATGTAGCTAATGTAGCTTATGAGTAATGGAAGCTTATACTCCACCAATTAGCATGGTGCTAACTGCATGCCTCAGGCACCAGAATGTAGGTTTTAAGGTGGAACGGACAATTCAAGCAGAGTTGTTCTCACACTGTTTAATACAAAATCATGGCTCTAATGTGGTGACGAGTGAGTGACGTGTTCTCTCCGTCAGGGACACCGCCCGGCTCGTCATCCGCAAAATCCAGTTCGCTCCCGATAACACTGGATCTGGACAGAAAGCTGAAATCTGCAAGAGCTTCATGATGTCTGACAAACCTGTTCTTCTGGAAGCTACTCTGGATAAAGATGTGAGGAACCTTCAGTCGTTCTATCAGCATGTTGGGCATTAGAACCAGAGTTTGAACATTCAGCAGATGTGATGGTGGCGACTAATTTCGTGTTTGCTTGTAACAGATTTATTACCATGGAGAAGTCATCCCTGTTAAGGTGAAGGTCAAGAATGACACCAACAAAGTGGTGAAGAAAATCAAAATTACTAGTGAGTCAAAACTCATAAAACAGTCCTATTAGAATCTCTAAAACTAATGATAACACAAACAGCCAATGATCTTGAGTTGTTTATTTCGAAATTACATTTTTTTAGATTTGTATATTTACTTTTTTAAACTTTTGGGTTCGCATTTCTTTTACAGTTGACCAGACCACAGATGTGATTCTGTATTCCGCGGATAAATACACCAAGAATGTTCTGACCGAAGAGTTCAAGTGAGTAAATAGATTTTTGTTGAAACTAAGTATGTGTACAAATGTCTTCAGACTTTATTCCTTTACATTATTTACAGTATCTGCTGTCTAAGCAGTACCAGAAACATCTGATTTTTCAGCTCACATCTAACAATACCCTAGCAACCACCTGGAACACCACAGCACATTGCTCATATTTACAGTATAATCTAAAAGACAAGCGTCTTGTTTTTCTATAACCTTCAATCACAATGATTTGCCTCCTTTTCCCACCACTGCACCTATCATGGAAAGAAAACACTTATCTAGACCAGAGAACCTCCCTGATACAAATACAGCCCAGTACAGTAGGAGGATGAGTAATGATAAGGTAGCGTAAACACTGAATGATCAAACACTAACAAATCTGTGTGTCCCCTTCCTTCAAAGCCTCTCCGCCTCCACAGAGACACCATTATCCAAAACATGTGGTCTGATAACACGGCAAGAGTCAGAGATCAGTTTAGAGATCTATGAGTCAGGAGGAAATAAACTCCTCCGTTCTAGACTCTGTGACTCTGAGTCAGAAACTCAGACAGTTACTCTGACCTGTTTCCTTTCAAATGAGACTGAGATCACAACTGTAGCCCAGAGTATGTGGGAACAGCGCCCCCTTTACTTTGGGTACGCCATTTCAGGCACAAATGGGGCCGCAGTTAACAGGTGTTTAATTTCTCAGTGAGACGGTGGAGGCGAATGCAACGTTTGAGAAGACTCTGCCCATCACCCCCCTACTGGCCAACAACAAAGAGAAACGTGGTCTCGCTCTGGATGGACGACTGAAGGAAGAGGACACTAACCTGGCCTCCACCACTGTGTGAGTAACACAGTTAGTCAATCAATCAAGTCATTACTGAATATTATACAAGCAACTGTAGTTCAGAGCACTTTACAAACTGACTCGCAGTGAAGACACAGAAAAAAGGTAATAATTCATGAGAATATACAAAACAATAGAAGCTGTAAAATACAATAAAACATAAAATTGAGGATGAATGCAGTACTGTAATTTGTTTAATACGGTTGGGGCACAATCTAAAACATCTACAAATATTTTACATGAAATACTGACTATTTCTGGTAGACTTGATGTCTGGTCAGTACATGCTACATGCTACATGCTACATCCATCTCCTAGCCATGATTAGCGCAGCTGTGCTACATTTTTACAGTGTTTATTCTCCCTTCAACTTACACAACCTAACCACAGCATGTCTGCCTGAAAGGCCCAGTTTTCACACAGTAATGTGATTGTAGGTTCTTCTCTTAATGGAAATTGTTCTTTTGTCTTTGTTTCTATGGTTTAATCTATGGAGGCTGTACTGTAGCCTGTCTGTCTGCTTTGAAACGCTGCTATATCACATTCACCAAGAGGAGATTACAATAATATAGGAGTGAATTCTGTACAGCTCACTGATCACAGTTACTTTACACAAAGTCACTTTAATGGTATTAAAACAGTCTTCAGGGTGAATCTGGAGGAACATCTGTCAGAATTCACATGACGTTGATATAGTGATATGAGAGATGATCTGAAGCAAGTTCTACTGGATCCTAACTACATTAAACACCCATGCTACATTATACCCCGTGTTAGTTTGTGTGTATTAGTGCTGCTGATAATCCGGTGTTGTTTTCTTCCTCTCTCCAGTCTGCGGCCCGGAATGGACAAGGAAGTTCTGGGAATTCTGGTGTCATACAAAGTCAAAGTTAACCTCATGGTGTCCGGCGGAGGGTGAGATTCTGTCTCATTAACATCAGTGAATCTGTGTGAACATGTTTATAACACATAATCACCACCACGCTGATATTCCATTCACCTCCACTTTATTATTATTATTATTACACACATTCTGTAGAGCATTATATACAGTCCAGCTCTCAGTTCTGTAGACAGTCAGGTGGCAGAACATTGTTGCAACTGTGGTTTTAAATAATTTAAAATACTGATGACTGTTTTTTTTCCTTTCAGCCTGTTGGGAGGTCTAACAGCCAGGTACACTTTATATCATGTTTAAATTCTAAATATTAGGTTTTATCAGAAACACACTCCCCTCTACCACACAGTTTTAAACCTGTCTCTCTCTCTGTCTCTCTCTCTGTGCAGTGATGTAACAGTGGACCTGCCTCTGACTCTGATGCACCCCAAACCCACAGGTACAGCTCAATTGTCTTTTTACCCACATACATACATCCATATACACTTTATTATTCTTACATCATAAGATTATACTAATACATACTGTTAAGAATGATCCAGAATATGAAATGAATTATTCACTATAAATTATTCAGTATGAATTATTCAGTATCTACTATAAATTATTCAGTATCTACTATGAATTATTCAGTATCCACTATGAATTATTCAGCGTCTACTATGAATTATTCAGTGTCTACTATGAAATTATTCATGAATTATTCAGTATCTACTATAAATTATTCAGTATCTACTATGAATTATTCAGCGTCTACTATGAATTATTCAGTATCTACTATAAATTATTCAGTATGAATTATTCAGTATCTACTATAAATTATTCAGTATCCACTATGAATTATTCAGCGTCTACTATAAATTATTCAGTATGAATTATTCAGTATCTACTATAAATTATTCAGTATCCACTATGAATTATTCAGCGTCTACTATGAATTATTCAGTATCTACTATGAATTATTCAGCGTCTACTATGAATTATTCAGTATCTACTATAAATTATTCAGTATGAATTATTCAGTATCTACTATAAATTATTCAGTATCCACAATGAATTATTCAGCGTCTACTATGAATTATTCAGTGTCTACTATGAATTATTCAGTATCCACTATGAATTATTCAGTATCTACTATGAGTTATTCAGTATCTACTATGAATTATTCATTGTCTACTATGAATTATTCAGCATCTACTATGAATTATTCAGTGTCTACTATGAATTATTCAGTGTCTACTATGAATTATTCAGTATCTACTATGAATTATTCAGTGTCTACTATGAATTATTCAGTGTCTACTATGAATTATCCAGTGTCTACTATGAATTGTTCAGTATTTACTAGGAATTAATTCAGTAACTACTATGGAATATTCGTTATGAATTATTCAACATCTGCTATGAATTATTAAGTAAAGTTATAGAACATGTACAGTTAAAGATGGGAGCAGTGATTATATTATGTCCATAAGTGTCTGTAAACAGTGGTGTCATCTACCGCTGTGTCCAGCTGTAGCCTAGCTAGCTACTCATTCAAACTTATCAAAGTCATAATTACATCAGCCGTTAATGTTACTTTACATTCAGACACAATCTTGAATGCTGTTCATTTATACTCATCAATATGCATCAATATTCATGATTTCTCTCTCTCTCTCCTCAGAGTGAATCCTCTGCAGATCTCCAGGTCAGAGTAGATCCTTCGTTTAGTTTCCCTCAGAAGACACACAATGAGACACAGCAGGAGAACTGGAAGAACATGTGATCCTCCAGAAGGTTCTAAAGGAACAGCAGACCAAACAGCACCATACCTCAACGCACCTAAGCACACCTGCACCCCCGAAACACGAGCACCGGAACGTTACTCTGCTTCAGCGCTCAGTTTTAGCTTTAACAGGAAATGGGTGCCTTCAGTCACTCAGCTGGACCAGAGTATAATAACTGCACTCCTGTGGAAAAGCGCCCTTCAGACACACCCGCATTCCGGCTGCGCTTCTGTTTACTGACAGTGAAATCAATGCACTGACACACTCTGAGCACACTTTACTCTCACGTTAATGTCCTATTGAAACGCTGTACATACACAGAAATGTCCAATTTTGGTAACCTGGGTGTTTTTGGAAATTTTAATTTTAGTTTGGGCCTCAGTGGCTTTTTAATTCATTCCATGGATGGATTAAATGCCAGGAAGCATAGGAGGCTAACAGGTTAAGCTAATACTTAGAAATTAGCATCCTTAAACCACTGGAATAGAAAAAATTTGTTGATGACAGAATTTTGACTGGCTTGTACTTTTGGTCAGTTTGATACGACATACAGTCTATTTCTGGTAGACTTGACATCTGGTCAGTACATGCTACATCCATCTCCTAGCCATGATTAGCGCAGCTGTGCTACTTTTCCACAGTATTTACTCTCCAGTCAACTAACAAACCTAAACCAAACCACAGCTTGTCTGTCTGAAAGGCCCAGTTTTCTCACTGTAGCACCATTAGCTTCCTCTCTTAATGGAAAATGTTCTTTTGTCTTTGTTTGTTGACTGATTTTTTGAATGTGCCGTGTGATTATTGTCTAGTCGTGTGTTTAGTGAAACCCCTCAGTGATCAAACTCACACCAACATGTGATTTTACTGTTTGTTTTATCACTCCTGGAATGAAATGTCACAGGACCAAACTGGAAAAAATGTAATTAAAAAAATAATAAAAAACTCTAAAACACATTTGTTATTGTTGTTGTTACTCTTTATATTTTCATTTTAATAGACTGCTCTGGGCCAGAATAATATTGACAGTAATTAACACTTTAATAAGTGATTAAGCACTGCTTAAAGACGTCAAGAGTTTTTCCACTTAGTTCTGCTTAATTCTGTATAATTCAGGCTGCTTTCATATGCATAAGCCCCTCCCACTACCTCCCCACTTTCCTCTAATAGGCACGCTTCCATATGCAAGTCCCACCAACTCTCCACCCACTTTACTCCAATAGGCTGCACCCAGATGTATAAGCCCCACCCACTTTACTTTGAAGACTTTGGCTGGTGTGAAACGCTCTGTTCTAGATAAACTTACCAAGTCAGAGTTGTTCACAGTGGTGGTGATAGGAACCAGACGTCCACCTCTTTTACAATTGTTTTGAGAAGGTTTAAAAACATACATTTAAACTCCATTCATGGTGGAGGGATACATGCAGGGCGCTGTGAGGCAAAATAGTCCCCAAAGAAAACTTATTATTTCCGATTTTCCACTATTTTCCATCATCAACATTCCATATAAACTCAGAAGACTCGTGTAGGTTCACTGGTGGTTCTGGATAGTAAATAAAATGTCTATATCTGTGTTGTAGTCATGGCGACCCCTGGTTCCTATCACCACCACTGTAAAGGCATCTGAACCATTTCCCACCAAACTGCTCTGAATCTCTCTGTTTACATCTCAGTGATTGAACAATGCAGAAAATTGGAAAAACCAGTGGATCCTTTTAAATTATAGACCACTGTAGTTGTGTTGTCATTCTGATACATTTTGCCCTGTGGCCCAAGGTACATTCTGGTGCATTTGAATAACTGCTGTACCATTTAAGGTGGAAAGGGAAAGGTCAAACCAGAAGCTGGCAAATAAGAAGCTGATTTCAGTTTCCTCGAGAGTTGAAAGACTTGAAAACGGATGAGGAGGCTGCTCTGTTTCTGCTTAACAGGCAACATTAACTTGTTTTTGCTGTTTCACAGAACCCACACGTCAGTATTATTATAATGTTTGTGACAGCTAATCACAACTGCTGCACCATTTAAGGTGGAAAAGGGAAATTCGAACAAGAAGCTGGCGAATAGGAAGCCAACTTCAGCCTTGTAGTTTTTGGCAACTTAGCAAAATTCCATGGAGCTCCATGTACGAAATAATGGAACTTATGAAGGATTGAGTTTGTGACAGTGTACTGACAACATTCCCACTACGTTGTCACAATGTGGTCAAATAACGTCACAATTTTCTGAGGAATTACATTTCAACATTGTGACAATGTTGTGGGCACCAAAATAATAGATTGTCACAATGCAACTGTGTTTGTTGGGATGTATCGATATTAGTATTGCGACTCTATAGCAACCTCTTTTTATTTACCACAGGATGCGATAGAGACAATTTTTCAAAAACCCCATTCATTCTGGTCATAGAGAAACCGATTTTAGACCCTGAGTTCCTAATTTGGGCCTAACGCTGACTACAAAATGCCGCACACCTATCATAGCAAAGTGGGCAGGGCTTATGCATATGGGAGTGGTCTGACAGTACAAAGTGGGTGGGGCCTATGCTTTGGACACACGTACACTCAAATGACCGGGCTTGAGTTGTGCTGGAGTGGTTGTAATTTCGGGGGTTATTCTGTTAAAGGACGGCGCAGCAGGAGCTGAATAAGTTCTATTTATGTAATATGTTTTATATCAGCCTGTGCAGAATAAACCTGTAGAGCCAAAACATTTTAACAGCCGTGTTCAGCTCTGTGGTTAAACTGTGTAGCACTGATGGAGTTTTGGCTGACTGAGCAGATCCCTTCACTTTAAGCCTTAATGCTGCGGATGCTCGGCCTCATTCTGATCTCAGACAGTCATGAATAAACTCTCGGCGAAGGTCTCTCCCTGCTCTGCTCCCACACCTGCTGTCCTGCACCTGCCCACATCTACAGGTAAGACTCAACCTCACGCTGTAGACTCTGTAATCTCAGACTGGAGAGGGTTAAACCGCTGTAGTTACTGAGAGATAAGTTTTTATCTGAAAAAAATCATAGAACCCATTAGTTTCTGCTGGATCGTGGTGATGATGTAAAATAGCTACTACTGGTATTGGGATTTTCTTGATTTCTTCCTGGATCTAATAGTCTTTTTTTCAGCAGGGACAGTATAAATCTTATAACTCACAGAGAACAGCATTAGTATGTTAACTGTTACAACAGCTCAGACTGTACATTCAGTTTGGTTAGTGTTTATAAACAGTTATTACATGTACATATGCAGTACATGCACATTTTAAAGCGAAACCCAAACACAGTCAATCAGTTCTGCTGGAAAAAACCCCCGTAGGCCAGCAAAACCAGCATATGTCATGTTTTGGATGCTGGTATGCTGGATAACTAGCAGACCCTGCTGTGGTGACCAGCTAAACCAGCACTAGACCAGTATAAACCAGCTAAGACCAGCATGACATGCTCACTGGTCTGTGACAAGACTTGTTTGAGTCAGACGTTTGCTTCTTTTGTTTTAGCACTGGGAGCTATGAGGTTAAAGTAGCTAACAAGCAATGTAAGCTGCAAATCTCAGCAATTAGCAATAGCGTTTGTCTCAAAGCGTGTGGTGGTTGGATGAAATGTTCAGATAAAACAGCAGAGCTACATTTAAACAGGCTCAGTTCAGTGATTTCTCCTGTAAAAAGCATCTGCGAAGGAACAGGAACACGTCATATCGGGCTGCCGTCCAATCAACTACGCAGTATACACAGCCACTCTATGCTTTTTAAAACTATGGTTCTTCAAGAGTTCTTTACTAAAGTCAATGGTTCCATTTGGAACAATGGATTCTATATAGAACCATTTGCATGCTTTGCATGGTGAAATGGTTCCTCAGATTGACAGAGAATGTGGTGTATGTGGTTCTGTATAGCACCAAATATAGTTCTTGACATTGTAACAACAACAGAACTATTTTTGGTGCTACGCAGAACCATTTTCAAAAAAAGCTTCTATATAGAACCATATACAACACATTCTCCATCAATCTGAAGAATCATTTCACCATGCAGAGAACCATTTAATCACGCAAATGGTTCTTTAAGTGTTCATGGTTCTGTACAGAACCACTGTCTTTACTAAAGAACCCTTGAAGAGTCATTGAGGGTAAGCAGTGGTTGTTTTTGTTTTCAGGCTCTATAATTGGTCTAAATCTGTCTGTATTGTGATTTGTGCAGCTGAGTGTTCTAGACGTTTTCCATCATATATTCAGAAAAGAGTATCATAACAGAATTGATCACAGTAATGATAATACAACACTGTGCAAACGTCTACATTGTTTTAAACCATTTATCTGGCCAATAAGTGTGTTTACTAGCAAAATCACCATATATCATTAAAATAGATGCAAATAAACATTAATGCAACAAAAAGTAACAATGTCTTATTTTCAAATTTAAAAGGTAATATCTCATGAGCTGATCTGAAGCACAGAGTTTAGTTCCAGATTTCTCCTCCAGGCGTCACATGGATTTATTAAACACCATCAGCAGCTCCAGATTTAGCATAATAAAACACTGATTGGATAAATCAGGCACTGGATGATTACAGATAATACTGGGCTTTCTGGAGGACACACGTAAAATCACTACTTACTGTATTAATATTAGTGGGATTTATTCTATTATTAATGTTTTTCTGAGCTAATAAACACTTACTGCCCAGACAAACAGGCTTTAATTGTAATTTGTACCTAAAACCTCTGCACAGCCCTCAGCTCTCTGTTTCCTTGCTCAGAAGGTGCTGACCCTCAGAAGGACCTCAGGACAGAGAGCGAGGTCAGGGGTCAGGAGGTCAGCTCCTGCTGCTCTCGCTGCCCACTGAAGGCCGTGCTACGGCTGACCGCTGGCCTGCTGCTGGCCGGCTGTGTGTCGGCCACCTGGGCGTGGGCAGCTCACAGCGCCAAACACACGCTGACCCGCCTGCATGCTCCCTTCTTCATCATCTGGTTCTGCAGCAACTGGAACGTCCTGTTCTTCCCTCTGTATTACCTGGGACACCTGCTGGGGTCAGAGCGGAGAGAGTGGCCCACCGTCCAGCTGCGGTCAGACTTTAACCTCATTTTGTCCTCCTGTAGAGTCCTCTACAGCTTCTCATTAGGTTGAATGAATAACTGACTCTAAATGTAGGTATTGTGATATAAACTGAGTCTGTTCTACAGTTTCTCATTAGGCTGAATGAATAACCGACTCTAAATGTAGGTATTGTGATATAAACTGAGTCTGTTCTACAGTTTCTCATTAGGCTGAATGAATAACCGACTCTAAATGTAGGTATTGTGATATAAACTCAGTCTGTTCTACAGTTTCTCATTAGGCTGAATGAATAACTGACTCTGAATGTGGGTGAAACATCTACATTGTTAAATTAACACCTACTGTGGTCATTTCCAGTGGACGCTCTCTTCAGCGTTGGAGACCAGGCCACAGAAGTGTCTATAAATCAGTTGTAGTTATAAATCAAGGTGACTGGTTTAATCTTGTGAAAGAGGGATTACATCACAGGATTACACACAAGATTAAACTACACATTCAGTTACCTTGATTCATTGTTACTGCACCATTTTTACTGATGTTTTTAGGTGCGCTGGGCTATTCAGTCCTTATTCAACCAAACGCTGAGTGGCTGATTTCATTCATCTGATGTGTATTGTTGTCAAAACCTCTTACTCGCCTGAGTTTACTGCTGAAAAAGCTGTTTAAAATAATCTGCTTTAAACTTCTAATCCTCTCAGATTAAGATGGAGCTAAACAAACATCGACACCTCATTACTTAATGACCACTTCAGTACAGCAGCGCTCAGTCCAAACCAGCAGCAGCTGCACCTCTCATAACAAGACCAACACAGTCAACTTACACTCACAACACAGCACAGTTACTCATCTCAACACAAATCATTTCATAACTACTATTAATTATTCCTTCATAACTTATCTACCATAAATTATCCAGTACAGAATAATTCATAGTAGGTACTAAATAATTCATAGCAGATCTATGAATTATTCAGTACCTACTATGAATTATTCTGTTTAAAGCGTTATAATATGTACAGTATGGTAATCTCTGTGTAGAGACTGTTGAGTTGTGTGCGTCTGATATGACTGTGTGTTTTTAAGTGTGCTATGTTTGTGTTCAGGAAGTGCAGCAGGTTTCTGGGTGATGGAGATCTGACGCTGAGGTTGGTGCTGAAGGGTGCAGCTCCGTTCTCTCTGCTCTGGAGTGTTTCAGGGTATCTTCACCTGCTGTCCCTCTGCAGGATCTCCATCAGCGATGGCAGCGCGGTGCTCTGCTGCAGCCACGCCTTCGCCTTCCTGCTCAGCTGGATCGGACTGAAGGACCGCTTCATGGGCGTCAGGGTCAGAACACTGATTTACACCACAGTCAATTAATTAATTAATTAATTTTTCATTATACACTCACTGTCCACTTGATTAGAAACCCATAAATTACACCTTCACTCACTACCCACTGTACAAATATAGAGTGGAGCTATAAGGTACATGTTTCTAATAAAGCAGCCAGTTAGTGGAAGTACAAGGTGAGTGTTTCTAATAAAGTGGCCAGTTAGTGGAAGCAGAAGGTAGGTGTTTCTAATAAATTGGCCATTTAGTTCAAGCACAAGGTGGGTGTTTCTAATAAAGTGACCAGATAGTAGAAGTACAAGGTGGGTATTTCCAATAAAGTGGCCAGTTAGTGGGAGCAGAAGGTAGGTGTTTCTAATAAATTGGCCAGTTAGTGGAACTACAAGGCAGTGTATTTTATTGTATATATTGTGAGTTGTTTACCGTGTTGTGTACTGTGTATTGTGTATTGCTCCACACAGATAGTGGCCGCTATCCTCTCCATCACTGGTATTGTCATGCTGGCCTATGCTGACGGTTTCCATAGCAACTCGATCACAGGGGTGGCTCTGGGAGTCGGGTCAGCTTCCACCTCAGCTTTCTACAAGGTTAAAACCATGTATTCTTGTGTTTGTGGAGTGTTTCTGTCCCAACAGCATCAGCATCATCAGCATCATCAGCAACATCAGCATCATCAGCATCATCAGCACCATCAGCATCAGCATCATCATCATCAGCATCATCATCAGCACCATCATCATCAGCATCATCATCATCAGTCCTCTTACTTTTTTACTTTAACAGATAATGTGCTATTTTAGTGTGTTGTCCCTTTTATCATATTACACTGTTTAATTTAACAGTGTCTGATTTCTGTAATTAAAGAGGGTGGGTGTGTGTGTGTTTGTGTGTGTGAGGTGTTGTTTAGGAAGCATGTGGGCGAGGTTGGACCCGGTGCGGTGTGTGTGCTGCTGTCCTGTGTAGGTGTGTGTAATCTGCTGCTGCACTCGTGGCTGTGTGTGTTACTGTACCTCACACACACGGAGTACTGGAGCCCAACACAGCAGAGCGTCCCCTGGAGCTCCCTCTGCACCACCGCCGCCCTGCTGCTCCGTAACTACACACACTACTCTATACACACTGACCGGCCACCTCTTTATATGTCCACTCACTGTCTGCTGTATCAGCTCCACTGACCATATAGTTTCACTCTGTAGTTCTACAGTTACAGACTGTAGTCCATCTGTTTCTCTGATACTTTGTTACCCTGTTCTTCAGTGGTCAGGACCCCCACAGGACCCCCACAGAGCAGGTACTGTTTGGGTGGTGGATCATTCTCAGCACTGCAGTAACACTGACGTGGTGGTGGTGGTGTGTTAGTGTGTGTTGTGCTGGTCTGAGTGGATCAGACACAGCAGTACTGCTGGAGGTTTTAAACACCTCAGTGTCACTGCTGGACTGAGAATAGTCCACCAACCAAAAATATCCAGCCAACAGCGTCCTGTGGGCAGCGTCCTGTGACCACTGATGAAGGACTAGAGGATGACCAACACAAACTGTGCAGCAGCAGATGAGCTATCGTCTCTGACTTTACATCTACAAGGTGGACTGACAAGGTAGGAGTGTCTAATAGAGTGGACAGTGAGTGGACACAGTGTTTAAACTCCAGCAGCACTGCTGTGTCTGAATTGAAATTTTACTAATTTACTAAACTGAAGACACTAAAGGAGGACTGGATCGTTAGAACATCTCACAATACTTTCACGTTTGATACCGAAGTACATTTAAAAGAAAGTAGTTTTGTTCTTTAACTTAGTGAAAGTACAGCAATAATATTTCAGCACGATTGTCTCAACTTGTTTGTGTGCTTTGGGCGTCACTGTTGATGATGTCACAGATATCAGATATCTTTCTGTTTCAGAACTGATTCTGATCGTATTTTATGTTTACAGTGTTTAACGTTCTGGTGAATTTGGGTGGAGTGGTCAGTTACCCTGCCCTGATTTCACTTGGCATCCTCCTCACCATCCCGGCTAGTGTAGGTATGCCTCATGCCCACTTCTGTTTACCCAACCAATTAGCGTGGCAAACTGGTTTATATATATAAAATGGACAAAATTACAGACAGAATTCAGGCTTCTGTCTGGCTGCTACTGTGTTAGCTATGCTGATGTACTTTAGTCCATGTTTATAGATAACAGTGAGTAACACAGAGTCAGAAACCACAGAATCAAGTTTATAAGAGATTACTGAACACCTCCAGATGCTTTGAGATGATTTAGGTATGCAGTTAGCACCATGCTAATTGGTGGAGTATAAGCTTCCATTACTGGTTAGCAATATTAGCCTCAAAGCCAAGGTGACCCCCGCCTCCCCGCCAGGGACAGCTCCCAAAGTTCCCTAACCAGCAGCACGACCACGCCAGAATGCCCTGATGAGCTTTGGATATGCTGCACAGGTCCAGTTCAGTAAAGATGGAGGCCTGCTGAAGTGCCTCGTAAGAGGTAAGGGGTAGTGCTCCTTGATGGTAATAGCACTGAGGCCCTGATAGTCTATGCAAGGGCGAAGCTTCCCATCCTTCTTCCCAATGAAGAAGAACCCTGCGCCTGCAGGAAAGGTGGAGGGTCAAATAAAGGCCATAACCAGTGCCTTCCAGGTGTGCTCCTCCATGGCCGCCTGTTCTACTGGAGACAGGGAAAACAGGCTTCCTCAAGGCGGTGTGGTGGACTTGGACCTTTTGCTTACTGAAGACCTTCTGAAGGTCCTGATACTCTTCGGGAAGCCCTGGTATGTCGTGCTTTCACAATGGTTTGAATAAACCCTTTGAATCACGGGAGAACATAAGCACAAACCTTTGCACTGAGGACCGCAGACCACTATGGATCGGGTGGTCCAGTCAATCCGTGGATTGTGCTGCACCAACAAGGGAGCCCCTAACATGAGCTGAGGCTGGGGAACACAAGTAAGGTATAGCACCAACTTTTCTTCATGGAGACCCACCTCATGGTGAGTGGCTGGGTACAGTGTGTCATCAGCCCAGCTGGTCGACTGTCCACGGCTAGGATTTGAATGTGACGACCCCCAACCCCAGGCAACCCTCCACCTGAGAGACCAGGGTGCATCTAACAGGGTCCAGTTCTCCTGGACCACCTGACTGTTCTTGATCCACTTTCATTTATTTATTTATTGAGATTACCTTTAAGCCTCATGTGCGACTATTGCTAAGTAAGCCAGCCCTGCTGGGTCCAGGAAGAGGCTGCACCTTCTGTCACGGGTTGGTGGGGGGGGGCCCAAGCGCAGGGTGTGGGGCTGAGTTCCTCTGGGGTTTTTAAATAGATGCTCCTCCAGCTTAGTGGCATTAAGGCAGTCAGCCTAGAGCTTTCTGGGAATTGGAGTCCATGCCAGAGTTTGCAAAGATGAGCGCCGCTGCTACCCTCTGCTGGCAGCAGGTGGCACTGAGCGCCTCCTTACAAGGCTGTTATTGAAACTTTTTATTGAGTACTTTTTCATTTAGAGCTTCTCGTTAGCTTTTTCTCACTAATCAGTCGAGTTCCAGCACTTTATAATTTATTGTTTACTAAAGTGTCAATTTAAATTCATATTCATTTAAATGAAACTGTAAATTCATCTTTGTGTAAAAACTAATATCACTAGCATTGCTCTCTCTCTCTCTCTCTGAAGCTGTAGACTGGTGTATGTCGGTCACTCTGGTGGTCAGTAATGTGCGTGGAGCAGCTTTTGGGATCATCTCTGCTGGGTTCCTGCTGCTGCTGCTGCCAGAGGACTGGGACGAGCGAGCGCTGCGCTGGTTCGGGACGCTGTGGCACAGCCGGGACGAGTCAGTGCTGGGGGAGGACGGGGGGACAGACACACCCAGACCCAAACCCAAACTGGCCGGAGTGGCAGCGCTGCCCTGAGCTCCGGTTTGCTCTCACTGTTCACTCTTCTGATCGAGTATTATTAATCACTGAATTAGGACTGTTAGATTATTACATAATAGAGGGGTAAACATGATTCAACTGTACTGATTTTGTATTGTTTATTATTGACTGTAATCAAGTGTCTACAAACCCCGGACTCCAGAATCAGCTCCAAAAACTAAAAAATTCAGTTCCTATGCTGATATGTGCTGAGAAGTTCCACTGCAGTTCCACAGGGGAACTGAGTAGGTTCTCTTTCTGGATCTTTTTGTCTAAAATAAAAAGCTAAAGATACAAAGTGACAGGAGTGATCAGGGGTACAGCAGAACAGGAGCTGAAAGAAAGAAGAGAATTAACTAAATATTAAAGAGGAATTCTATTCATTCGTCAGTGAAACGCTCCGTTCTAGATAAACTTACCGAGTCAGAACTGTTCACTGTGGTGGTGATAGGAACCAGACGTCCACCTCTAAAAGCTCCCTCACAGAAAGTTCCTACATGAAATGGTTATGAATTCACTGCCTGATGACTGAGACACTGTTTTATGATAGTTTAGAGAACTTAAACTCCATTCATGGTGGAGGGATACATGCAGGGCGCTGTGAGGCAAAATAGTCCCCAAAGAAAACTTATTATTTCAGATTTTCCACTATTTTCCATCATCAACATTCCATATAAACTCAGAAGACTCATGTAGGTTCACTGGTGGTTCTGGATAGTAAATAAAATGTCTATATTTGTGTTGTAGTCATGGCGACCCCTGGTTCCTATCACCACCACTGTAAAGACATCTCTACAAGGAACCATCAAAGCCTCGCTGAAGAAAATGCAAAGTGCACAGCTTAAGTAGTGTTACCATGTGGTTGCTAGGTGGTTGCCATGGTATCCCAGGTGGTTGCTAGATGTTGCTAAGCAGTTGCTATGGTATCCCAGGTTTTTAGGGTGTGACTGTGGTATTCCAAGTGGTTGCTACACACTACACACTGCTGCTGATTTGTCAGAGTCAGCAGTTCTCCACTTGGGGCTCGCAAGACAATCTGCAGTGTATAAAGAGCTCTGCGGTCTCAGCTACTGCCTGTGCAACGTGTATTTTTCCAGATAAAGAGCTTTGCTTTGGGTTCACTGCAGCGTTCCTCATTGTTATCTCTACAGTATCGCGCTATCTTGAGGTGCGACACACTGAGTTAAAGCAGAAAAGTCTCCCACTGGCATCGTGGAAGAGTAGAGGCAGATAGAAGCTATCTGCATCTTTCATTTGTATGAGCTTTATTGGTCATTGGCTTATCAGAGTCTCATATTGTTGTTATTACATCCACCCAATAAAGTACTAGTATGTTAGCATATGCACGTTTATTTAAACTAGTTTGACAGTTTTTAATTTGTATAAAGTATTTTAACATACAGCTCATTAAAACAGACTCAAGACAGAACAAACAAGGTGCTAAAGTAGCTAATGCAGCCACAGCTATAGCTAAAGACTGAGTATATGCTATGAACATCTGCTAATACAGTACAAAGTCCTTACAAATCATCAAAAATCTGAAATCACAATATAAACGAAAGAACACAAACTCAGATTTAGTTGTAATGAATGTCGCAGCTGGATCGTTCTTCAGGAATCCAGGAATGGATCTCATATCCGTCGGCCTCAGGGAGATTAGCATTAGCATGAGCGCTGGGGAGCGCAGAGGATGTGAGATGGATTCGGGGCAGAACCAGACTCTGCTGATACATCACATCTGGAGAGAGAGACAGAAATATACAGCCACCAGGGGGCACCCATGAGCATGTGTTTATTTATTTATTTATTTATTTATTTACACTAGTGTTCAAAAGTGGAATCACTGCTCAAAAATGAATGATTAATCAATGATGATAAAACCAGTTTGACTGCAGATACTGTAATGTGCTGGTGCTGAACAACTTTACAGGTTCCAGATAATCATTAGGACTCTAAATTCTAATAATATTAATATTCAGAATTCATCATGGAGATTGTGTAATATAAATAAATAATTACAGGATATTAATTATTTAATAACTTTGGCAGATAGTTTGCAGTATTCATACCCATGCTGTAAAAGTTATTGTGTAAATAAAATAACAAAATTTGTTAATTAAGCAAAGTGATGTCAAACTTTTGAACGGTACAGTTTAGCAGTTCTCTGTGTTTTCTGTGTCCTGTTATCTGTATTGTTTACTTTAAAGCTGCCTTTTTTTACCTGATGGAAATGAATGAAATATTAATTCTTTTTCTTTTTTATTTTTGGAAAAAATGTTTGGGGTATGTTTGGGCTGACAAATGCCAAATGAAATGACCTTTTACACGGCATTAATGACATAGGAGGTTTATTTAATATGACACAAACCAGATGTTTTTGCCTGAATGTGATCACAGATGTGAATTTTTTCAGAGCTGTGTTCATTTTTCATTCTTAATACACGGAGTGTGTCTGTAAACTGGATAATAACTGTGCACGTGACTGATAATGGGCAGAGGGCAGGGGTTACAGTCGGCTGATGGTTTGAAATATATGAAACCAATCCAGCAATTCTAAACCCAAATAAAGGTGTCAGATCAGAAGTAGTCCAGATGTGAAGGGAATCAGATTTTATTCCATTTTAAGTCATGTAAAAGATTATGTTACTGATTATATTGCTGGTTGTAATTGGTAATCAGTATTGGATTACTTTCTTAAGTAATTAACCCAACACTGGTCATAACTGGGACATGTTTACATAATTTAAGAATTCTCAGGTCACCAGAAAACAGCAGGATCTGAGTAATGAAGCTGTGATGTGAATGTGGACATGTGGGAGTGTAAATACAGATATTTCTGTAGTGTAATGTCCCTCAGGCATGCAGCATTTCCTCACCCAGGTTGGGTCTCCTGATGGAGACCTGGCGCTGGCTGGAGTCTGAGGACAACGATGAGCTCTGAGTGGAGTTGGACTTACTGGACCTGAATGAAGCCACCGTGGGGAACTTTGGGAACTGGCTGGGTTTGGGTTTGGCAATGACTGTTGGAGTGTGGCTCCAATCTGTATTAAAAACAGAAGAGATTCACAAGTTTGTGCTCATTCACTTTTAAGTTCAGGTTCAGATTCGGGTTTAGGCTTATATTTGAGTTCAGGTTCATATTTGAGCTCAAGTTCATATTTGAGCTGAGGTTCATTTTTATATTTTATATTTAATTTTTATATAGGTTCATCTATTAGTTCAGTTTTATATTTCAGGTTCATACTGGAGTTTTGGTTGCTTATTTGAGTTCAGATTTGTATTTGAGAGGCTCCTCTTAGAGTTCAGGTTTATCTGTGTCACCTGACTGGTCGTGAAGTTTAAAGCGTCCGAAACACAGGTGGATTCTCCACTGTTTACGCACGTTCTCCTTCATAAGACAGTGGAAGATGAAGATGAAGAAACCTGAAATGCATCAAAACGTAGTTTTAGCCAATATATGATATGATATGCAGGTACACACGCTGTTCTCAGAAATCACAAAGAATTCACTTAAGATGCACAGTGAAGTGCAGGTGATTGATTTAATTCACCTGGTCACCTTAAAAGTAAACGAAAGACCTCGCCACTTCCAAACACAACACTAACACTGTTAAGTACTGCGCTGAGCTGACTCACCTTGCAGGCTGTTCAGGATGGAGAACAGGTAGAGCAGAGGGACCTTGGCCGGACCCCATGTGAAGAAGGCCACGGCCCAGGTGAGTCCAAGCAGCAAGGTGAAACTGGCCACGCCTCTCAGGTCCTTCAGCAGGCTGCGGTGCGTCCCTGCCGGCTGATTCACACGCATCTTCCTCATCTGCAGCAGAACCACCAGGAATATGGAGAAGTTGCAGAGCAGGACGAGGCCAACAAAGCCCACCACAGACACGAAGAACACCACGTCGTCCTGAATCCAGCAGCTGAAACAACACAGACACAACAGCAGGTTTAAACTGTGTACAGTCCCACAACTGTACCTGTAACTGGAATCAATGTTTTCAACAATAGAAAACCAGTGTGGCTGCAGATAAATGTGTTAAATGATTCTGAACTGATGCTGATACTCCACAACTTCAGGTCTCATATAATTACTAGAAATGCTGTAAATAAAAATGAACAAATGTTGGATGTTAAATGTTAAAACCCAGCTGTAGAAAATTCTAAAATGACTGAAAAAGCTGTAGAACTTCTTGCTGCTCCCAAAAAACTTGAACTATTAAACAAAAAGTCTAAAAATACAACAACAAATTATTAAAACCCCCATTTTGTACTTTTCTCTGAAGTTTACTAAATATTTGTGTGGTTTTAAGTTCCAAAAACAGTTCTAATTCATTTCTACCATCAAACAGAATTAGGCTGTTTTTGTGACTGTACCTTTAAGACTGATATATGTAAATAAGCTCTGTTCTGATTGGCTGTCCTGTATTGTGTGTCATTCAAGAAGCAGTACCAGCTAAAACACTCCTTACAACTTAAGTTTGAATGGGCAGGCCTAAACTGCTGTAGCTGAATGGTGAAGCTAAACTGCTGTAGCTGAATGGTGGAGCTAAACTGCTGTAGCTGAATGGGTGGGGCTAAACTGCTGTAGACTGAATGGGTGGGGCTAAACTGCTGTAGCTGAATGGTGAAGCTAAACTGCTGTAGACTGAATGGTGGGGCTAAACTGCTGTAGACTGAATGGGTGGGGCTAAACTGCTGTAGCTGAATGGTGAAGCTAAACTGCTGTAGACTGAATGGTGGGGCTAAACTGCTGTAGCTGAATGGTGAAGCTAAACTGCTGTAGCTGAATGGTGAAGCTAAACTGCTGTAGCTGAATGGGTGGAGCTAAACTGCTGTAGCTGAATGGTGGGGCTAAACTGCTGTAGCTGAATGGTGGAGCTAAACTGCTGTAGCTGAATGGTGGAGCTAAACTGCTGTAGCTGAATGGTGGAGCTAAACTGCTGTAGCTGAATGGTGAAGCTAAACTGCTGTAGACTGAATGGTGGGGCTAAACTGCTGTAGCTGAATGGTGAAGCTAAACTGCTGTAGCTGAATGGTGAAGCTAAACTGCTGTAGACTGAATGGTGAAGCTAAACTGCTGTAGCTGAATGGTGGAGCTAAACTGCTGTAGCTGAATGGTGAAGCTAAACTGCTGTAGACTGAATGGTGGGGCTAAACTGCTGTAGCTGAATGGTGAAGCTAAACTGCTGTAGCTGAATGGTGAAGCTAAACTGCTGTAGCTGAATGGTGGAGCTAAACTGCTGTAGCTGAATGGTGAAGCTAAACTGCTGTAGCTGAATGGTGAAGCTAAACTGCTGTAGCTGAATGGTGGAGCTAAACTGCTGTAGACTGAATGGTGGAGCTAAACTGCTGTAGCTGAATGGTGGAGCTAAACTGCTGTAGACTGAATGGTGGAGCTAAACTGCTGTAGCTGAATGGTGGAGCTAAACTGCTGTAGACTGAATGGGTGGGGCTAAACTGCTGTAGCTGAATGGTGGGGCTAAACTGCTGTAGCTGATTGGTGAAGCTAAACTGCTGTAGACTGAATGGGTGGGGCTAAACTGCTGTAGCTGAATGGTGGGGCTAAACTGCTGTAGCTGAATGGTGAAGCTAAACTGCTGTAGACTGAATGGGTGGGGCTAAACTGCTGTAGCTGAATGGTGGGGCTAAACTGCTGTAGCTGATTGGTGGAGCTAAACTGCTGTAGCTGAAGGGTGAAGCTAAACTGCTGTAGACTGAATGGGTGGGGCTAAACTGCTGTAGCTGAATGGGTGGAGCTAAACTGCTGTAGCTGAATGGTGAAGCTAAACTGCTGTAGACTGAATGGTGGGGCTAAACTGCTGTAGACTGAATGGTGGAGCTAAACTGCTGTAGCTGCATGGTGGAGCTAAACTGCTGTAGGCTGAATGGTGGAGCTAAACTGCTGTAGACTGAATGGTGGAGCTAAACTGCTGTAGGCTGAATGGGTGGAGCTAAACTGCTGTAGGCTGAATGGGTGGAGCTAAACTGCTGTAGGCTGAATGGTGGAGCTAAACTGCTGTAGACTGAATGGTGGAGCTAAACTGCTGTAGGCTGAATGGGTGGAGCTAAACTGCTGTAGCTGAATGGTGGGGCTAAACTGCTGTAGCTGAATGGTGAAGCTAAACTGCTGTAGACTGAATGGTGGGGCTAAACTGCTGTAGCTGATTGGTGGAGCTAAACTGCTGTAGCTGAATGGTGAAGCTAAACTGCTGTAGACTGAATGGGTGGAGCTAAACTGCTGTAGGCTGAATGGTGGAGCTAAACTGCTGTAGGCTGAATGGGTGGAGCTAAACTGCTGTAGGCTGAATGGTGGAGCTAAACTGCTGTAGACTGAATGGTGGAGCTAAACTGCTGTAGGCTGAATGGGTGGAGCTAAACTGCTGTAGGCTGAATGGGTGGAGCTAAACTGCTGTAGCTGCATGGTGGAGCTAAACTGCTGTAGGCTGAATGGTGGAGCTAAACTGCTGTAGACTGAATGGTGGAGCTAAACTGCTGTAGGCTGAATGGGTGGAGCTAAACTGCTGTAGGCTGAATGGTGGAGCTAAACTGCTGTAGCTGAATGGTGGAGCTAAACTGCTGTAGGCTGAATGGGTGGGGCTAAACTGCTGTAGCTGAATGGTGGAGCTAAACTGCTGTAGGCTGAATGGGTGGGGCTAAACTGCTGTAGCTGATTGGTGGAGCTAAACTGCTGTAGACTGAATGGTGGAGCTAAACTGCTGTAGACTGAATGGTGGAGCTAAACTGCTGTAGCTGAATGGTGAAGCTAAACTGCTGTAGACTGAATGGTGGGGCTAAACTGCTGTAGACTGAATGGTGGAGCTAAACTGCTGTAGCTGCATGGTGGAGCTAAACTGCTGTAGGCTGAATGGTGGAGCTAAACTGCTGTAGGCTGAATGGGTGGAGCTAAACTGCTGTAGCTGAATGGTGAAGCTAAACTGCTGTAGACTGAATGGTGGAGCTAAACTGCTGTAGCTGAATGGTGAAGCTAAACTGCTGTAGACTGAATGGTGGAGCTAAACTGCTGTAGCTGAATGGTGAAGCTAAACTGCTGTAGACTGAATGGTGGGGCTAAACTGCTGTAGACTGAATGGGGAGGCTAAACTGCTGTAGCTGAATGGTGAAGCTAAACTGCTGTAGACTGAATGGGTGGGGCTAAACTGCTGTAGCTGAATGGTGGGGCTAAACTGCTGTAGCTGATTGGTGGAGCTAAACTGCTGTAGCTGAAGGGTGAAGCTAAACTGCTGTAGACTGAATGGGTGGGGCTAAACTGCTGTAGCTGAATGGGTGGAGCTAAACTGCTGTAGCTGAATGGTGAAGCTAAACTGCTGTAGACTGAATGGTGGGGCTAAACTGCTGTAGACTGAATGGTGGAGCTAAACTGCTGTAGCTGAATGGTGAAGCTAAACTGCTGTAGACTGAATGGTGGAGCTAAACTGCTGTAGCTGAATGGTGAAGCTAAACTGCTGTAGACTGAATGGTGGGGCTAAACTGCTGTAGACTGAATGGTGGGGCTAAACTGCTGTAGCTGAATGGTGAAGCTAAACTGCTGTAGCTGAATGGTGAAGCTAAACTGCTGTAGCTGAATGGTGGAGCTAAACTGCTGTAGCTGAATGGTGAAGCTAAACTGCTGTAGCTGAATGGTGAAGCTAAACTGCTGTAGCTGAATGGTGAAGCTAAACTGCTGTAGCTGAATGGTGGAGCTAAACTGCTGTAGCTGAATGGTGAA